ATAGTCAAGGGAAAAATTTCGGTCAGATAGGCAGAGGATAATCTGAGGCCTAAATGAAACAGGCATGAACAGGGAATGAGTAAGTGGCCAGTTAGCCTGAACCTGCATGGTAGACCTGATTTCGTAGGACGCTTTCGACTGGAGTTAAGAGGCAATCAACTTTGTCAACCCTCTGAATAAGCGCTACTAATCAACCTGAATGAGAGCAACACTCGAGTCTATAGCGCTTCCTGATTGTATGGTGAAGCAAGAAAGAAGGATGGTTAATCCAGATCAATATTAAAAATCTTGTTGGTGGGTGCACATCAAAATAAAAGGGCGATGGCGCCTGTGAACAATTTCTTGAAAAACAACAGACATTACTGCCATTGGTCGTCATAAGCAAACTTCGGTGGAAGACATCTATGCCATCCTTCACCCGAGGCACCTATCTGTCCCAGTGCAATGTCCCCTGTTATGTCACCTCCTGAAACACCGGGTGTTGTGTGACCACTTCACATTAGGACAAGGCAGATTTTAGTGACTATTCTGCTTCTCATTCCAGTAGGCATCGCTTAGGCTAGGGGTCGTGCTCTCAGCTAACCTAAACTGTTTCTGGGAAAAATTACGTAATAGGTGTGCGACAGCAGGAGGTTTACTTACTCCGATGAGACATAACTGTTGGTACGGTCGAAGATTGACAGAGTATGAGGGTTCGTAGCGCAGCCCGCGATCTGATGGACCAACAGGTGAGATGCAGATCTGGAATGGGGATTTATAAAGTGGAAAACGTGAAAACCGCGGTTGCACATCATACGCTTAGTTCAAAGTGGTGTAAATGATAAAGAGTTACCGGCGCTTCGATCAGATTCCTTTCCCGAGAAAGGTACTCGACTTACCGGGGCATAGGCAGCTCCATACCGTGCCCAAACCATCGGAACCGGAACGATCAGTGGTCAAGGTCAGGGCAGTGACCACGGAAAGATCACATGCATTGGGTGATGCGGGCCACGACAGGCGATAGTGAATAGTGCCAACGGACCGAGTGTTCGTTGTCCTTGACAGAGGAGCCACAGAGGATAGCTTCGGACGGACATGATCTAGGTTGTAGCAAATCAACTGGCCGCGTGATCCCCCGAACCAAACTTCCAAGTCCGATCTGTAACGTATCGGTAATGTACAATGCGTTGATAAACAGCGCTCTCAGCCTTGGCAAAACAGAAAAATGCGAGAATATAAAGTGAAGTTTGTGTTAAGCTAATTCCTTTGGGGATTAACAAAACCGTTGAGGGAAACTTTGCCTTAAATAAATTCGAGATTTCTTACTAGCATGTTCAAGATTGCACTCGACCACTGGGACTAGTGGTGTTTCGACGTTTATCGTTCGAGGACTCACGTTGAGCGTCGCATTCTTATGGGTAGGTATGCGGTCATTGGTGAACCTGTTGGCCTAAAGTGACAACTTGATCACGTTAATAATGGGGTTTGGGGGGATAAAATGTACACCTATTTCCGGTAAAATCAGAAACAGTCTGATCAGCTTCCCTCTGCTTAAGTGAGTAGTAGTGTCCTTAAGCTCTGCTTTTGAGGTCCCGGGTTCCCCCCACCCCTCCCCCCGTAATTAAGGCGATATGACCCAACTAAGATAAAACAGCTGTGCAGGGCTTCCTGGCGTTTAAGTTCGCACTTCATTTGCTCTGTACACGACCAAAGTTCCTATATAATCGGATAAAACCTTCAACACTATTCTCATGAAACGGATTGATGTAACTTAATCCTTAGAGTCTGCGCTGTTGTCGCCGTGCATGCGCTAAGACAATGTGAATCGACTGTGGCGTCGGATGTGAGATTCTCACTTCTCCGTTGCATGAACGATACAACAGTGTGTGAATATCTCGCATTTAACTCACAGTTACTTGTGAGTCAGAGCATGGTCCGTGTCTACGGGTGTTGACCAGTAGGAGCGGCGGTCTTCAATGGATCCACACCGGCAGTGGCTGATGGCGATGTGGTCGATTTGAGTCCAGCGCAGTGAAGAGGTTGGCGGTTTCCATGTAAGTCGATGGCTTTTTTTGTGCGAGAAGTTCGTGCTTGACAGAAACAGTCCGTGGTCAGCACAAAGTTGGAGTAGGCGTTCTCCGTTGTTAGTCCGGTTAGCTGGGATTGCATGCGAACCGCCAAGTAACCTCTCTGATTCGTCCAGGGATCCCACTTGAG